TCATTAGCTGATAGAACCAGACATTAGAGGGTAGAACCCGACATTAGAGGGTAGAACCCGTCATTAGCTGGTAGAACCCGACCTTAGAGGGTAGAACCCGACATTAGCGGGTAGAACCCGTCATTAGCTGGTAGAACCTGACATTAGAGGGTAGAACCCGACATTAGCTGGTAGAACCCGACATTAGCGGGTAGAACCCGACATTAGAGGGTAGAACCCGACATTAGCTGGTAGAACCCGACATTAGCGGGTAGAACCCGACATTAGAGGGTAGAACCCGTCATTAGCTGATAGAACCAGACATTAGCTGCAACATTAGAGGGTAGAACCCATCATTAGCTGATAGAACCAGACATTAGAGGGTAGAACTCGACATTAGCTACTAGAACCCGACATTAGCTGCTAGAACCCGACATTAGCTGGTAGAACCCAATATTAGGTTCTATTGGGTAATATCAGACCTTAGCTGGAAGTGAAGGAGGTTCCTCTGGAACCAGAGTGATGCTGAAGGAGCTGCTTGGTTTGCAACCCAGAGGAGAACCTCAAACCGGGACAAAGAACCGGACAAACTGGAAAAAGTTTCCTTATTTGATGGAACGTTCTGTGGTACAGAAACAGAAGAACCTTTCAGCTGTCGGCCCGCTCCAAACCCAGAACCTTCTCTCTAAGCTGCCAATGCCATAGATGATCTATTAGTTTTAGTAATGATCAGTTTTTTCTTCTGATTGTTGAACTTTATTGGATGTAGAAGAACCGTCGTTCCCCGCAGGGCCAATGGGGTCCGTTAGTTTCTGAGCTTACGGGGGGCGGGGGCCTCTGAGAAGCTCCCTGTGGTCCAGATGGATGGGTTCTGGGAACCTCCGGGTTCTACGGGTCAGAATGATCAGAGTTTAGTTCTGTTTGTCACTTTAATGATCCACATTCCTGGAGGTGTGAGGACGACGTTCCAGGCTCTGTTAACCTTCACTCTGCTGCTGTCGGTACCGATAATAATAAAGACGAGATCCGACCCAATCCGACTCGGTGTCGTTTAATTCTTCAGAGAACAACCAGAGCAACTCATCAGCACAGAACATAAATCACAAGCATGTCCATTCCTCTCTAGAGAACTCTACAGGAGTGAAACAGCTCCATCTGGTGGAGAGGAAGCCAACCGCGCCGGGTGGAGAATCTGGACCTGGAGCGGTCCCCTGTAGAACCATGAGGTAACGGAAAGCCACAGCTCCTTTAGAACCCAATCCTGGAGATTAG